CAACGAATTATCATTGTTTTTTTAATTACCTCTTGTCGCGCAGATCTATGTTGTATCCCCTCGTATTTGATTTCTCTTCACGAACTGCTTTCCTCTGCACAAACAATCTCCTTGAATCTAACTAGTGGTAGATCTTTCAGACTATCTCTCAGAGGGGATAGGACTGGTGTGTGGGCAATCTCTCAAGGGGGATAAGACTGGTGTGTGGGCACTCTCTCACTATCATAGAGATGACCTTACCTCAACCTCTGCAACAATCAAAAGAAGATCAAGAGAGGCTAATGATTATAAGTGTAGAATATATATGAGTTCCAAGAAACCCTAGCCCTAAACTGAATGAGCTCTAGGTTTCTTGGGTTCTTCTTACACACTAGGTCCTATTGGGCTTTAGTGAAGGCGCAAAACCCAACAATCAAAGCCTACGTAGCCACAAAGTCATGAGTTCGATTCTCATAATCCCCATTCTATTGATAAATAATTAAAATTATAAAGTTTTTGTTGTATGAAGGGGTGTGTAAGAGAAATAAATATTTACTTGACGGCTTAAGTTATTGGGTTAAATTGGTTAATTTATATTATTATTCGGCAAATAACATTCCATACATATGAATTCAAATTTGGTTTTTTTATAAAATATAACTCCATATTTTATTTATCTCTTTTAAATTATTTAAATTTGATACAAGTATATATTTTTTTTGGGTAAGCATACAAGTACATTTTTAAGTATTGAATATATATATATATATATATATATATATATATATATATATAACTCTAGTTAATTTTGCTGCAAATATCATATAAGAATGTATAAAATATAATTATAAATAGGAAAAATATGTCTTTCACTAAATATAATTCAAAACAATAATAAAAATAAAAAACATTATTATTAAAACTAAAGTAAAGAGTTATTGTATATAATTTGAAGAATTATATATATATATATAGTACATTTTCATTATTATATTTTATTTATTATTTAATTTATGTTCATAAATATTTAAATTTATATATATTTTTATCTATATTTAAACCATTTGTATCTTATATGATAAATAAGGATTAATCCTATCGCTACCTAAATTTCCCGCAAAGACATTTAATCTCGATTTTCATAAAAACTAATCTAAAAATATATTTATCAGAGAAAATAATTATAAATAACAGGAAGAATGCTGAGATTATCATTGAAAGAGAAAACATTAATGAGGCAGTGAGCTGGCAGCAACTTTCCCTGCATAATTTATAATTGCACGCGTATGATGCGTGATTGACTTGGCTTTCAAGAGAGAGAGAGAGAGAACCCCAAATACTGTGCGCATGGTCATGGAACACAACGCGTGTTTGGCGATCCTAGTATCAGTCGTGAAGCGTTTTTGGTCAACAAAGCAGGTAAGGAAATTTTCTTCGGTACTTTTTTTATTGAAGATTTAGTATATTATATATTAAAGTTAAATAATCTTTTTTTTTTTTATAATTAACGTTATATGAATCCCACTTGTTTATATTTTTAAAAAAAATATGATTAAATCAGTAAGCACCATGTATATATGTTTGATTGACGCAGTAAAGCCAGAGAACATGTTGGCTATTTTGACTTCTCTCTCTTGCTGTATAAATTCCAACAAGCACGTACTCTTTTGGCTGTTGTTTTCTGTCACATTTCTGGGTTTCAATCATTTTGGAATGTTATTTTGATGACTGAAAAAGTTACTATTACACAGATAAATGGTGACTTTTTAAGCAATGGCAGGAAACTTTTTTTTTCTCTCTATAAATTACGTTCACTCGCTGTCTATAAACAATTTCTTGTGACTTGGAACCCATTTGGGGTGATTCTTCCATTATTAATTCATCAAATTTTAATTAAGATAAACAAATTTCTTGTGACTTAGAACTCATTAGAGAAGAATTTTTTTTGTTTCTTGAAATCACGATTACTGATAATAGGTTAAGAAAATAAATTTTTCATAAATTTTATAAAAAAATTGTTTAATAGGCAAAAATATTTTCAAAAATATTGGCTCTAATTTTCTAATTCTATATTTAGTTGATTATTAATGATTACTGAAAATGTGGGTTAATTTTAAGAAATTAACCTTTGATGAATTTTTTTTTTAAAATTCCTGATATGCCACGAATGGGTCAAAACGCAACGTTGGAGATCAAGCATAGATTTTCCAAACAAATTTGACCGTTCTCAAACCAGAGCAACCCCAAATCGTCTTCAGGAACCAAGGAATTACCATCTGCAGCAACCACACAATTGTTCTCAACCCCAAAATCATTCTCAACCCCGAAGTGGAACCCCGGAGCGAAGCGGCGTGAAGCAGAGAGGATCTCTCACGATTTTGTGAAGCAAAGTATCACGGCTATGACTTTAACAAGAGAGAGTATTTTAGTCATAAAAATATTAAAGCAGGATTATTTATATCCTATAAATTAAGTAAATTTTTCACAAGGTGGATTCCAAGAATACCATCCATCTGGTAGTATTATTTCATGAGGTTCTTATTCACAATTTTAATTCTCAGGAATCTTATTTTTTCAGATAAGTTTTAAGAACTCTTTTGTACCAAATATGGATAACTAAGATTGTCAATGTTAATTTTCTTAGAATCTAAAATTTATCTCTCTACCAAATTGTCCCTAAATGAATACCTTCTTTAATTATACACTTGAGTGAGCTTAACAATCTCACATTACCTCACCAGACCTCGCGTCAGACGGGTTTAAAACCCGCACCATTTACGAGCAAGACACATGCGGTAGATTTTGAGTCAATCCGGTTTGCGTCGCTCCATAGTTCATCACATCTATATAAACATTTTATATATGATTAGGTTAATAATAAATTTAACTGAATTAAGTAGTTTCCTTAATTTCATGCTTATCCTATAAATAATATTTAATTTATATAAATGATTACTTAATTTTAAGATCATGATAATTGATTATTTTATAATTTTTCAAAAATATTCATAAATGCGAGTTAATTAAGATAAGACGGGGTTTTAATATTTTCATACAAGGTCATTGTGAATTTTATTCTCTAAAACAATGAATTGATGATAAGTTTGGAATTAAGAAAAAGTTTATCCTGACCCATCCCGTTAACAAGCCTACAACTAGCTATGCTTATTGGACATTAAATACAAAATTATATTTATAAAATATTACATTAATACAATGATTGTTTTGTATTTTTTTTGTGTAGGCTAAGTTTAACGTGATATATGTTTTTAAAATATATGAAAATAATAATCATTTAATTATATTCTTAGTTGTTCAATTTTCATAAGATTCAACGCAAAAAATCAATGTAAGAGCCAAACGAAAATATTAAATGGTACAACAATGTTAAGCTTTACAACATAAGCCATATATTAAGGACTCTCACTTGATATTATTTTACAACCCTCAATTTGATTTTGATCCAACAATAAAAAATATGGTTGTAAGAGAAATTGTAATTTGTAAGTTTAACATCCCTTGTATATATATATATATATATATATATATATATATATATATATAGAGAGATAAGATCCTTTGACACTGGTGTCAAATTTAAAGTTTGACACTTCATCTGAGAGTAGTTAGATCAAAAAATATCAACGACTCTGATTTGTAAGCATGTGATACCATTGATATTTTTTGATCTAACGGCTCTCAGACGAGGTGTCAAACTTTAAATTTGACACCAGTGTCAAAGGATCCTACCTCATATATATATATATATATATATATATATATATATATATATAGGAAAAATGTTTATCATTTTAAATGACACAAAGTTACATCATTTTAGGAGAGAGAAAGACACTAAATAAATTTTTTATTTAAAATTTAAATTAAAAAAAACCACCCACTTTCTCTCTCCCATGATTTTCATTTCTTGTGTCTATCTCTCTCCTAAAATGACATAACTTATATCATTTAAAATGACAAACATCAAACTCTATATATATATGAGATAAGTTATTCTACCTACCATTTTTTCTGTCTACCCTTGCCTACCACTTTAAAACATCATTAGATCAGAATCTTAACTAACATTTATCTTTCTCTCTCTTCTTGAGATTATGATCTAACGGTATTGGAGGGTGGTAGGTAAAGGTAGGCAGAAAAAATGATAGGTAGAATAACATATATATATATATATATATATATATATATATATATATATATATATATATATATAGGTCAGGATCATTTTACACCAGTGTAAGTTACACTCTCGATCTTGTCCGTTGATCCCACTTATATCTAAGGGTTCAAATTTTTTAGCAAGGTGAGCCATTAGATACAAGTGGATCAATGGTCAAGATTGAGTGTAAAACTTCTAACTCTTACACCGGTGTAAGAATATCCTGCCCCATATATATATATATATATATATATATATATATATATATATATATATTAGTTAGTTAGTTAACGATGATAACAAAATTAATCCTATTTGAATTATTAAATGAAAGTGGACGATTGTCTTTAAGCATGGTTTCTAAGGTACATCTTGGAAACGCATGTCCTAATTCATATATTTATCTTAGTAGATTAATAATCTTAAAAAAAAGTTTCTTACATTATATGATCGATCTCAAAAGCCTCAATAAGAAACAAAAGAATCATTTTTATAAAATTCTTCGCTCAAATGGATCACACCCTAAAGATTTTTAACAAGTCAATGTATTTGGAAAAATACAGCTTTCAGCCTAAAATATTCAATTAAACTCAATGATCGGTCCAGATAACTCCTACTAGGTCACATTTTTTTTTTCTCTATAATCAATTATAGTTTCTTAATCATTTGTGGCTGCATATATTGACAAGAGAAAAATACAAACAATGCAAATCTCAAATATAAATACGATATACATTTCAAGGCCTTAACCACAAGCACTAATCATAAGCCTCTCAACTTTGCATCTTCTTAGTATACTTTCTTCCAATTTCTCCTTTTATTATTATAAAGCTCAATTGCCATGGGTACTAGTTCTTTCTCCACGACCCTTCCAATCATCAAAGTTCGTTTCTTCTTATGCTTTTGCCTTATCGGGATAGCCTCAGCTCAGTTGTCCTCTAATTTTTACGCAAGAACGTGTCCTAATGTGCTTTCAACCATTAGGATGGCAGTAAACTCTGCTGTTGACAATGAGGCTCGCATGGGGGCTTCCCTGCTCCGTCTTCATTTCCATGATTGCTTTGTTCAAGCAAGTCAACTTTCACTTTGTTTTTTTTTTTCCCCTTCTCTTTATATTCCATATTCATGAAGGCTCAAACCTAATAAATATATAGGTCATGATCATATTATATTGGCGTAGAATATTGATTATTTATCCTTTTAATATCTAATGGTTCTGATTTATTGTAAATTTGAGCCACTAGATGTAAGCAAATCAATAATCAAGATTTGTATAGTACTTCTTTTATATATATATATATATATATATATATATATATATATAAAAGGTTAGGATCATTTTACACCAGTATAAGTTACATTCTCAATCTTGTCTGTTGATCCTACTTATATCTAAGGGCTCTAATTTTTTAATAACGTGAGTCATTGAATACAAATGAATTAACGGTCAAGATTGAGTGTAAGTCATTGAATTTAAGTATTTAAAAAATAATGTAGTATACATTTTTCCATTACTTTTACTCGTTGGAACATGAGTTGCTTAGAAATGAAAAGCAAAAAATAAATTTTTCTACCCTTGTTCATGAATTACACCAATGCTCAGTGACACGAATACTTAAGTGAGCAGAACGCTAGCAAGTAACCCTAGACACTCTTAAACAATTCCTACTCTATTATATCTCTTGGTTGTTCAAATCAAGTTATGTCCGCAAATAAATTATAAAGGTTAACATATTCTGCAAGCGTTTTGCTTTATTTTTCTTAAATAAATTTTTAAATCAGTCTCTACAGTTTAAAAAACAACAAATAATTTCTTATATATTATTTCAATAATATATAATTGTATTCCCGACCTAACCATAAAATGCATTCAATGACCTTGTTAAAAAGATTTTATTATTATTATTATTAGAGAAGGACCAATCACTGATGAGTTTTGACTAAGCGATTTCAAGGATACTATTAAAAAAGTTTTTGAAACCATATCTATTCAAGAATTATAAAAAAATACATACACTTGCTCATTAGTTTATCCCATAAACAAATGGCTAAAAGTTGGACTGTTCCAATAACAAACATATTTTTCTTCCAAATTAACAATAAAAATAATATTAAGACCAAGTCCACATCCTTGTTTTAATAAAACTTCAGAATCAATCATGCGTATATATATTTTTTGGTGGAAATATTTCTTTTATATCAAGTGAAACTGACAACTAATTAATTTCAAATGTGTCGAAATTAATTTTCATTTTTGTTCTTCCATATCTTGTCATTGATTTCAGGGATGCGATGGATCAATACTATTGGACGATACATCGACTTTCACAGGTGAGAAGACAGCGTTTCCCAACGCTAATTCGATCAGAGGTTTTGACGTAATAGACACCATCAAGTCTCAAGTTGAGAGCTTATGCCCCGGTGTTGTCTCTTGTGCTGATATCGTCGCTGTAGCTGCAAGAGACTCAGTTGTTGCTGTAAGTTTATATATATAATTTCAAGCCAAAAAATAGAGATATGAATTATGCACTAATCAATATTTGAACAAATTTATCAGCTTGGTGGACCTAGTTGGACAGTGCAATTGGGCAGAAGAGACTCAACCACAGCAAGTTTAAGTGGTGCTAACTCAGAATTGCCAAGTCCAAATTCGGATTTAAGTGGCCTTATCACTTCTTTCTCCAACCAAGGTTTCACAACTAATGAAATGGTTACTCTTTCAGGTAGCGTAGTTAGAGATATATAGTTCATATTTTGTATATAATGATGATACTGAGATTTTAACCTATAATTTTTTTTTTAAAATTATCTGATTTCCTCATTACTAATTTACTTTAATTTAGTGGCTTTATACATGCATATTTATAAAAAAAAATTATATATTTGATTAGGTCTGTAAATAAATAGGTGAGACTAGACTTTGGTCTAAATAAAACTGATTTATATAAAATATTTTGAATCTAATTTAACTTATTAACACGATACAAGTTAAATTACAGGTCAACTTAATCTATATTTAAAAATTAAAAAGTCTGACCGAGACCTACTTCAATATCTATTAAAAATAAGGAAAAATAAATAAAATAATATTATATTATTAATTAAAATTATATAAATAATACTATAGGTTGATAATTTGTAGGTTGGACCTTGTGACATGTTTTTTAAAATACTTTTTTTTTAGTTCTAAACATAATCTATTTTACTCAGAATTGGCCTCACATAGGTTGATCCATGATAAGAAGTCTTCTCACCCATTTATATTCCTAAACAGTTATACTTGACCTTAATTTGCAATACTATTGGATACATGTCTATGATTAAATGTTATAATTAGTTTTACCATGCACTTGAACTTTTAATAATAAAAACATTTCAGGAGCGCACACAATTGGCCAAGCGAGGTGTACAACCTTCAGAACAAGGATTTACAATGAAACCAACATAGATTCCTCTTTTGCAAAATCATTGCAAGCAAATTGTCCAAGCACAGGTGGGGATGACAATTTGTCCCCTCTTGATGTCACAACTCCTAACACCTTTGACAATGCTTACTACAAGAATTTGCAGATCAAAGAGGGGCTCTTGCACTCAGATCAACAACTTTTCAATGGAGGATCCACAGACTCTCAAGTGAATGGTTATAGCAGCAATCCTGGAAGTTTCAGAAAAGATTTTGCCAATGCAATGGTTAAAATGGGTAATCTTAGCCCACTCACTGGGTCGAATGGCCAGATTAGGACCAACTGTAGGACGATCAACTGAGATTTTGGGCATCCTGGTTCTAAGTATATATAATACTAGTCAAGGTTATGGGCTACTTTGAATATAATAATGATCATATTGCAGTATTAAAGGAACAAATGCAATGCTTCCTGAATTGTAATATAAGTTTTAATATTAATATCGACAAAAATGTTTGGATTAGTTAACATTGGCCTTGCTAGAATTGCTATAATGTAGTTTAGCTGAATTTTCAATCAATTAACTTGACTATTACTGTAAGAACTAAGAAATAGGCTATCAATTTAGCCTAACGGTATGTAAATTAACCTAGACCGCCGCAAATTCAGCTTTTTTTTTTTCCAAATAAATATGGTGAATCATCGATATAAAATCAGCCCAAGTGTTGGGCTTGGATTTAATAAATAAATAAATAAATCCACAACCAAATAATCAATTGATGATCTAACCATCAAAACATTATTTTATAAAAATAAAAATAAATTACCATTAATTACTTTTGTTTAAATTGAAAAGGCTGGAGACATTCTTTTATTTTGAAAATTGATCCTCTTAAAATTTATATCAAAGTTCAGGAATTTAAATTTATACTCTTGAAAAACATAGAAACTTAAACCAACAATATCTCAGTTCCATTTATTAAAAATGCATAGCACTAAGAATCAATGTGCGAACTGCCTAACTCATTGCGCAACTATATAGCTCATAGCAGTTAAGGTGTAGTTTGTAGTTCTTTGTTTGTGTAGATTTTTTGGGCTTGGCCCTCATTATCTACCAAAAAATATTATTTTTAATTGATTGTGTAAATTATTAATAATTTAAAATTTGTATATTTACTTTAATACTAAAAATAAAATAAAAGTTACAATCGAATGACAAAAATTAAACTGAAAGTAAAATTAAATAACACAAAAATAATTTACAATGACTTTTTTTTGCATAAACTGATTTCTTAGCCCTTTGCTTAAAATAAGACTAAACTAAAATTAAATAAAACTAAAAACTATTTACAAATTATTTTAGGTTTTGTACCTAATTTGCTAGATTCGAAAAGTCTTTTATAAAAAATGAAGTGGTGTATATTCAATTATGTTAACTTCATTGTAACTTTCGCAATGACAAAAATACACACAAGGAACGAAAAAATAAATAAATAAAAATAAAAAAGGACCCCATATGAAGGACAAATTGAGAGGGTGATACAAAGAGGGGGAACACACAAATCACATCTCCCCATTCGATGGTTGTCATATATCCTGAGGAAACGCAAAATCGGTGGAGGATAATAAATCCACAACTCGCACACCATTGGTCCGACGTCGCATAATGGCACTCCACCATCGATCATCTAGGACGCAAATCTGTCCCTTGGGACGGGCACTGTTACTAGAGCCGATAAAACGGACTCGCTTCGATGGATCAACTCGACCAATCCGTCAAACGGGGCGAGCTGAGTTTTTCAACCCATCTCAAAAGTGAGGCGGGGCGGGACGAGCTCATTTTTTGGCGGATTGATGGCGAGCATAAGCAGACCGAGATGGGTCAATGTAAAATAGGTTCGGTGCTGAGTTTTTCAATCCACTTTTAAAAGCGGAGCGGGGCGGACTGACTTATTTTTTGGGGGTTGATGGCGGGATGGCCCCGCCCCGCCCACTTTGTCACTTCTAACTGTTATCATCGTGATATTAATAAACTTAGGGTATATTTAATATAAATCTATATTATATGACTATACATTATAATATTTTTAAATATTTGGTGTGAAAATTGTATAATATAAGTTTATATAACAAAATTCCTTAATACATCAAAATAATATATAAGTTAGTAAAATCTAAGAGGATGAGATTGTGTGTAAAGGGATGATAGAGATTCGAATAGAAGGTAGGTAACGATAATGACTCCTGATATAACGAAGAAAAAAATACTTTACTGATTGGGATAAAAAAATATTCCTTTATGTGCTTCCAAATGTTTAATTTGTACCAACAACATTATTCTAAGAAGTTATTAAAACAAGGGGTTTACTAATCTCATGTTACATGAGATAGTACTATCATGTAGGTGATACAAATATGTGAGGTCCACAATTTAAAAAGAAAAAAAAAGAAAAATGAAAAAATTGGCACAAAATTCTATGAGTGTATGACATGAGATATGTAGCATGAGACTATCATTTCCCTTAAAACAAACTTAACTGGTGACAGCTTTTGACGATGGAGTCAAATAAGTAAGTTAATTAACCAATGAGCTCCATCCCTTATTCATTGTCAAACGAATAGTTCCATTAATGGATAAAGAAGGACCAAGCACTAAGTAAACAACGAGCCCAATAAACCCAAGTTAGATTGGCGAAGACAATTCCAAAAATTTGTAAAGAATGTCTTTTTCGAAGACAGAATTATTCTAGTTTTAAATATAAAACATATCTATCAACGGTGTATTCAAAGCTTTTTGTTATTCTTAATATTTATTTTGATGTGATATCTTTTTTTGTTTTTCATATGGTGAACGTTTGATGTGATAACATTCTTTAAAATATTCTATAGCTTGTTGTGACTTTGAAAGCCAGTATACAAAATATGATTTGGCTACCCTTTTAATTTTCTAGATTGGTCAAACATTGCAGCGGGAAAAAAATAGATTTTATTTGGTATTAAGTGACATGAAAACGTTATAAAAGTGATTGGAAAAAAAAGTCATTAAGAAGTTTATTTCTTTTATGATTAATTACTAAATTACTTAATCCATCAATTAGAAAGAATTAATTGCTTCATTGCATGTATATGACTTTAAAGTTTAAACATGATTTTTTTTTTTTGAGATCGTAATTTGATTTTGATTGAGGGAATTGACCTTTAACTTTGAAAATTCATCCTTTGTTTAAATGTTTCAATCAGTAAAGTATTTTTTTTCTTCGTTATATCAAGAGTCATTATCGTTACCTACCTTCTATTCGAATCTGTATCATCCCCTTGCACCCAAGAAACTCAATTATTAAAGAAGTTACTTAAAAAGTTAAAATTATAGATAGCTGTATACAGAAATTATAAAAAAAAAATGAATTGAAATATATAATCGGATAATCAATAAAACGGTTATATCTAAAAAAAAGTTAAAAAAGAAAAAGTCATGAGAGTTCCCCATGAGGCAAGTATAAGTGGGATCGAGCATTGCCGACAACTTTATTATGAACCAAGAAGAATCATTAATTAGTAATATGTATCAAATGATGATAGTTCAGTTGATAGTAAGAGAGTTAAGTAAGTGAAAAGAAAAGGGTCTCGGTTCAATCTTCATATATCATATTTGGGAGGAGTTACTCGTAGTTCAGATTAGTCTCATAGCCGGCTCAAAGAGTCAAAGTATGTGGAGATATCGAAAGGAGCCAACTCGCCTAAAAAAATAATAAGGATTAGGTTAACTAAAAAAAAAAGTAATACTCATGTGCACGTAGTATAAAGGAGGAATATCAATAACATTTTTTTAATACATTCTTAAGTAAAATTTCGTTCCATGCACACTAAGTAACTTTAAGAGTATGTATGACAACTTTTTTGGAATTATTTTGTTTTTAATTTCTGTTTTCGGGAACATAAATGGATAGAAAACTCGTTTGGGAAAATCGATTTTTTTATTCCCGGGATGAATCTGTTTGATTTTTGTGTTGGGAAAAAGAAAAAAAAAATTCTGCTTTTTTGTTTCCATGCATAAAATAAGAAACATTTGTCTTTCTCAATCACTCTCCACCTCTACCATCATCATCCCATTACGACCACCGCCACCATCGTCGCCGCCGTTGTTTTACCACTAGTGTCGTTGTCACCATCACGATGCCATCGCCACTATCACCACCACCTCCACCATCGCCACCACCACCGTCACCACCCCCTCTACATCCACCGCCACTATCACCATCACCACCACCGTCTCCAACCTCCACCATCATCACTGCAGCCACTGCCTTCACCACCATCATCGCTGCAGCCACTGCCTTCACCACCATCACCACGCCATCGCCACCATAACCACAACCGTCACCAACCACCACCACCATTGCTGCAGTAACTGTCGTCACCACCACCATCATGTCATCACTACCACCTCCGCCACCATCACCACCAACCACCATACCATCGTCGCAGCCACTGTCATCACCACCACTACCGCCACCACCATCGCATCATCCCCGCAGCCATTGTCGTCACCCCCCTATGCCACTGTCACTACCACCACCGCGTCGCCACCGCCACTACCATGATTGCAGCCACTGCCGTCACCACCATCACCACTATCATCACCATGTCAGTGCCACCAACACCACCACCGTCACCAACAACCACTATCATCGCAACATCATCACCACCACACCATCATCACGCTAACACCACCACCATCACCAACACCACCACTGTCACCAACCACCAACAACCATCGCCACAATCACTGCCCTCAGCACCACCATCATGCCATCACTACCACCACCACTGCCGTCACCACCATTACCATCACCATGCCACTGCCACCACCTCCACCACCACCATACCATATAAAAAGAAAAGTGACGATCCGAAATTTTTTTATGCTTACTAGGAATTATTTGTTATTATATTATTTGTTGTGTTAGCAAACATAATTCTCACTTTCGGAATAAAAATAGAACATGTTATCGAACATTTTTTTTTCTTCAGAAATTGTTTCATGCCACAGAAGTATTTAAAGAATTGTTTCTTTTCAGAAATAGTGTAAAAAAGCAGAGTGATTGTCATGCACATCCTAAGTCACTTTCAATGGGTTAAGATGGTATAAATTTTTACAAAATATAAAAAATGTTAAAATAATATGTTATTAATATTTATCTAATATAGTATACTTCGTGCCGTAACTAAACGATAGAAAACATGTAAGACTAGAAGATTATCTCTGTAGCTAATATAACCAGGATGTATTAATTTACTTTTATCCGTGATTGATGCCATAATCAATGGAATTCTATTTCAATCATTCGTTGTGTTAGGGAA